TGTCATGGTTGCTTTCTTTTGCAGAAGATCTTTCCAATACCTTCACCAGTCAGTTCTGTGATTTCCTCCCTTCCAATAATCTAATCCTCACCCACCTCACCCACTTATTTCATGGCCATACCCAAAGTTGTCGTAACTGCATCTCCTCCACAATCTCAATTTCCTATAGCTTCAACTAAAGAGCAGGTTAATGTGCCTAGCTTGCAAAGCGATTCTCAGTGTCTAGCCTGAATTCATCTATAATAGCTCAGGGAAAAAATTCTCCTACCCAATGTCTGGCTCTGAACCAGTGCACAAAAATAAAAACGTCAATTTCCAGCATTCACAACTGCTGGAGTTTTTCCTCTCTCCATGTCTATCTTAATCACTCTACGTTTGGGGACCAGAACTCCAGAGATGCAACGTACCACTGCTTGTTCCCATCCTTCCTTTCTCAGTATTTTCTGTGAACTGCTGTCTCTGAATTACTTTAGAAAAATAAGAGAGAAGGGTAAGTCACTATTTTGGCTGTCTGAAAAAGCTGTATCCCAATAGTAAAAAAATAACTACCCACATTTCTGGCATAGCACAGATAATGACTCTCTGAGTTAGAAGGAGTCAGTAGAAGAAGGACCAAATAATCCTCTCATCTTTTTTCCGAGAGAGATAAAGCCTGGGCATGTTTAGGTAGTTTTCTCAATTCAGCTCTGTCTTATAATCAATGGAAATTTTCTCCAGTTTTGGAACTTTTTTTTTTAATCAGCATTACGATTTATTGTTGTTGTTGTCTTTTAGTAAGAAGTTAGGAGCCCAGAGCTTCCACCAGCCTGAGCCTAGAAGAACAAGATGGTGCCCGGCTACCACCACCAACTGCTCTGACAGAGATCGTAAGAGAAAGTCCTGGACAGAGCAGGGAAAAATGCAGAACAAAATTCAAATTCACGAAAAAGGATCAGATTTACTGGTCTGACAGAGACTGGAGGAACCCCTGAGACTATGGCCCCCAGACACTCTAACCCAGAAACTGAAAACACTCCCGAAGCCCACTTTTCAGACAAAGATCAGGCAGGCCTATAAAAGAAACAACACACATGAGGAAGGTGCTTCTTAATTCAATCAAATACAAGAACAAATGGGCAGCTCCTGCCCAAAAGCAAGAAGAGAAGGCAGGAAGCGACAGGAACTAGACAAATGGACACAGGGAATCCAGGGTGGAAAGGGGGAGCATGCTGTCACATTGCAGAGATTGCAACCAATGTCACCAAACAGTATGTGTATACATTTTTGAATGAGAAATTACTATAAACTTTCACCCAAAGCACAATTAAAAAGAAAAAAAAAGAAGTTAGGAGCTACTACACTGGGGGTTACTAGCTAAATACCATTTTTAACTGAGAATTCTGTTTAGTTCATTTTTTAAACTAGCTAAAAACTTGAGTAAAAATAGTTTCAAACATCTCATTTCAGAATATTTTAAAAAGCACTCTCCCATTTACTTCTGTATAAAAAAATTAATAAGTTAGATGGGAAAATGTACCTTAAACTGTTTCACACATTATTCAAGAAGGAGCTATGAGAAAGAAAAGAACAAAAATAAAAATATCCCTGGATAAAATCCACGTGTACAGAAGATGATTCAGGATGTTATAAATAACTCATATGAGGTAAAGCAAACATGACATATTTATATCATTCTCTAAAGAAAGGACATATTTTATTAATCTTCAAGTTCCTTAGTAGATTAATAATAAAAGGTTAGTGCATATATTATGAAGATATACATCTCCGTGGGCTCAAAGAAAGTCCAGATTATTTTAAGGTGAGTTTGCTTCTTTTTCTTCTGATTCATCATCCATAACCTAAAACCAAAAAACAAAGAGAATTTAAAAATTAGACAAAGATTGGAAATTGCTATTTTCTTGATTTTAATCTTATATGCTTTATAATGAATATACTGTAATACTAACAGTGCATGGCAACCCAGTAAGAGGAAATCTATGACAGCCCCCAAAGCACACGTTTTGCATCATAACCTGGTATCCTAACAACATAAAAGAAAATTAAATACTAGCCAAGTAATTAAAACACTAGTTACTTTTCCTCGTAACAAAAGAAGTTTCTAGTAGCAGAGTCTCAACTGGTATCCCCTAGCCATAAGACTAATGTACCTGACTTTTTCAAAAGCATCTTATTTATTTAAATATATTCAAAGGAGCTACAGCAAACTGTTATTATAAAAATATATATTAGAAAAATGAATCCCTAAAAAAAGAAACAAAATAGCATGCTAGCAAATTATTTTGTTCATATTCAGAGAAAAAACACACCTTAAACCTTAGTAAAATGTGAAGACTTTCATTTCTAATGAGTGAAAAAAAATACTAATGACTGTGTGAAGAAAAATTAATACTTTTCCATGAGTTAATATATTACTCAGATAATAAAGACAAACTCATTTGGAGAGGAAAGGAGTTATATAAACTTCAGAATTTTTTTTCTCCTCACCACACCTACTACAATTAAAAGGCCAATTCAAGTTTATTAAATTCAAGAATTTGTTTTCTCTTCACCACACCTACCACAATTAAAATGTCAATTCAAATTTATAATCTGACTGCTGATTCATCACCCCACGCTGAGTCAGTGAATAAAAATGTTCCTTTTCAATCCACCAAAGTGTCAACTAATAAAAAAAAAAAAAACCCTAAGGGATAATGGAACAAAAATAGTTTTTTTTAAAAATCCAAATGAATCTGGTTCTGATCTGATACAATCAATGGAAAAACAATTCTCTCACACTTTCTCTTCTGGGTTGAGTAAAAATGAGTATTTATTTCCAAGAAATTGATATTTTATATCCACTCTTAGCAACATCCAATCCAAAGAATTTTGTCAATCAGCTTCTATTTTAGCCACAATTATTGCTAAATCTGGAATAATAATCCCAAATACTTATATAATACAAACTATATATAGGACAGCAGCCCCGGTGGCACAGTAGTTAAGAGTTCACCTGCTAACCAAAAGGTCAACAGTTCGAATCCACCAGCCGCTCCTAGAAAACCCTATGGGGCAGTTCTAATCTGTCCTATAGGGTCGCTATGAGTCAGAATTGACTCCACAGCAATGAATTTGGGTTTGGTTTTATATATAGGACATGTTTAAGAAACAGAGCTAGGTGTTGCAGAGAACAGAAAGACTTAGATATGATTTCAAGTCTCTCAAGTGGCTTACACATACACATTAAGCTGAAACAGACACAGAGGAAGAGGCTTTGGACCAGACAAATCACAGCTTATTTCTAAGTGCAGGACTGATGAGGACTTAAAAGATGAGGTGGCGTGTGCTGGACCAAAAGGATGAATTTTAGGACTACCCAGAGATAAGTGATTCTCAAAGGAGCTGAGAGGAGATGCCCTCTCCTTTAAGGGAGCTTTTTCCAATTTCTAATTTCCACACACTCCTTCCCTTCTTGATAATCTCTCCCCATAAGGCTATGACTCTTGGTTGAGAATCACTGCCACGAGTCACTATCACTGCTGAGAAGGTGCTGTGCTGTATTCTTAGGTATCTTGGGGCAGAAAAAAATGTTATCATGCTACAGATAAAGCTCTGTAACCCTACACAGTACTCTGCTTTACTGTATAACAAAGTATGATTTCTGGATAAGCTTCTTGCCTCCAAGTATAAGAAGTGCAGAGATGTGATGTAGCGGAGCTCTTCCACTTCTAAATCTAATCTATAAAATCTAATCTATGAATCTCATTTTCCAAAATTTTTCTGCAACTCAAGTAGCAGTATACCCTCTGAATCTTGGTTTCCTCATGTACAAAAACAAGAATGATTTTATTTTCTATGCTACATTGTTAGAAGATTAAATGAGGTAATATTTGTAAAAATGTCTAGAATACTACATAGTAGGTACTCATAATACTAAAGTTACTTCTAAAATAAAGAGCCTTCAAGTCTGATAAAAATTATAACACAAAAATCTATCCCTTGAAGAAAAGTCAGATCATGAATTTCTCTTTTCAAATATTTAATAATAAATCTAACCTGTCATATAATATTGGCATACCTGTTCTACACCTTCTACTTCTGGAATATAAAACTGCAGCATGTTCTGAATACCATTTTTCAGAGTAATGATTGAACTAGGGCAGCTGGTACAAGAACCCTGGAGCTTCAGCTGTACGATGCCATCTTCAAAGCCTTTAAAGATGACATCTCCTCCATCTTCCTGCACAGTCGGCCTGTGGGCACATAATATTTGTTATATATTTAAAAGAATAGAAATTTTCATTAAAAATTTTTCATAAGGCTCAGGACTTAGATCTTATATTGGCAAAATTCACAAAGTTAGAGCTACTTTTATAATAAAGAATATTATGTTAATTATTATTAGGTGCCGTCAAGTCCGTTCCGACTCCTAGTGACCCAATGTACAACAGAACGAAAGACTGCCTGGTACTGCACCATCCTCATAATCGTTGCTATGTTTGAGCCCATTGTTGCAGCCACTGTGTCAATCCATCTCATTGAGGGTCTTCCTCTTTTTCACTGACCCTCTATTTTACCAAGCATGATGTCCTTCTCCAGGGACTGGTCCCTCCTGATAACATATCCAAAGTACGTGAGATGAAGTCTCGCCATCCTCACTTCTAAAGAGCATTCTGGCTGTACTTCTTTCAAGACAGATTTGTTCATTCTTCAGGCAGTCCATGGTATATTCAATATTCTTCACCAACATCATAATTCAAAGGCATCAATTCTTCTTCAATCTTCTTTATTCATTGTCCAGCTTTTGCACGCATAAGCAATGAATGAAAATACCATGGCTTGGGTCAGGCGCACCTTAGTTCTCCAAGTGACATCTTTGTTTTTTAACACTTGAAAGAGGTCTCTCGCAGCAGATTTGCCCAATGCGATACATCGTTTGATTTCCTGACTGCTGCTTCCATGGGCGTTGACTGTGGATTCAAGTAAAATGAAATCTTTGACAACTTCAATATTTTCTCCGTTTATCGTGATGTTACTTATTGGTCCAGTTGTGAGGACTTTTGTTTTGTGCTGAGGTGTAATAAATACTGAAGGCAGTAGTCTTTCTGGGTGAAGAGGGGAGACTGACGTGTTAGCTTACGTTTTTAGTAATGTTTTATTTCAATGAAAAGTTTAATACAGAAAAACACAGAAATCAAAGGTGTTGTCAGTGAATTTTCACAAAGTGAACATACATTTGTAACCCACCCAGAAGAAACAGAATACCAGCACTCTAGAAGTCCCCTTTGTGCTTCTTCCTAATGACACTCCCAACTAAAGGTAACCATTATCCTGATTTCTATCATCATTGATTAGTTCTGTTTTTTAACTTTATAATTTATAAATATGAATTCCATTTAAGAATCATATAGCATTTCCTCTTTTGTATCTTACTTTGCTCTTTTTGAGATTCATCCACACAATCGTGTGTAGTAATAGTTCGTTCAATCTCATTGCTGTATAGTATTTCATTAAAGTGAATATGCCAGAATTTTTTTATCCGTTCTACTTCTGACAGACATTTGGGTTAATATCAATTTTGGGTGTTTACAAATAGTGCAGCTATGAAGGTTCTTGTACATGTCTTTTGGTATACATATATACACTACTACTGGAAATATACCTGAGAGTGGAATTTCTGGATCAGGAGTATGCATATGTGCAAACTTAACTAGACACTACCAAATAGTCTTCCAAAGTTGTTGCATAAATTTACATTCCCATCTGCAGTGTACGAGAGTTCCTACTGCTTCATATCCTCCCCCAATAATTGGTTTTATCAATCTTAATGATTTTAACCATTCTAGTGGATGTTTAGTAATATTGCATTGTGGTTTTAATTTGAATTTTTGTAAAACTAATGGGGTTGAGCACTTTTCCATAGGTTTAATGGCCATTTGGTTATCATGTTTTGTGAAGTGCTAGTCTCTAGTTGTCTGTCTTTTTCTTACTAATTTGTATGAGTTCTTTATATATTCTGTCATATCTGTATTGCAAATATCTTCTTTACTCTGTGGTTTGCATTTTCACTGTAAACAGTGTTTTTGATGAGGAAAAAGCCATAATTTTACCATGTCTTTTCCCGAATTTTTCTTTATCTACTTTCTTGTGTCCTGTTGGAAGAAAAAAATTTGTGTCTACCCAAAGGTCATGCAGATAACATCGTATTTTAAATTTCCTTTGTGTTTTCTTTTTTGACCCATGATTCTTTCTGAATGTCCAAATATTTGGGAGATTTTGTAGTTACTCTTTAGTAACTGAAAACTAGCTTAATCCCACTGTAATCAGAGAACTTAACTCTCAATGACTTCAATCCTTGAAATATGTTAAGAATTGCTTTATGATTCAGTATATAGTCTATTCTGGTAAATGTCCCATGTACACTTGAAAAGAATAAATATTTTGTTCTTATTGGGTATGGCATTCTACATGTGTCAGTTTAGTCAAGTTTGTCAAGCATGTTGTTCAAATCTCTCATACCTTTATTAATTATTTTATCTGCTTGTTCTATCCATTACTGGGAGAGACTGGTTAGTCTCCCACTATGACTGTTGATTATCATTTGTCCTTTCAGTTCTCTCAAATTTTGCTTCATTTATTTTGAAGCTATGTTATTAGGTACATATAAATTTAAAATTGGTATGTCTCCAGTAGAAATTATCCTTTTATCATTAGGAAAGATCTCTCTTTAACCCTAGTAATGCCTTCAGCTATAAATACACTTTGTCTGATATCTGCAGAACCACATCAGCCTTCCCTTATTCAGTTTTTGCATGTTGTATATTTCTCCATCTTTTTACTTTCAACCTTTTGTGTCCTTATATTTAAGGTGTATATCTCTTATAAGCAGTATATAGTTGGATTTTCTTTTTTTTTTTTTTTTTAATTCAGTCTGACAATCTAATCTTTTATTGATCGACTTATCTATATTTAAATGTAATTACCAATATATTTGGATTTATATTACCATCTTACTATTGGTTTCCTATTTTGCATTCTTTTGTATTAATCAAGTATAATTTATTATTTCATTTTCCTCCTCTCTAGGTTTTTTGGTTAAACATTCTTTTACTATTCATTTAGTGTTTACCCTACAACATGCCAACTTGGTTTATTAGGCTCTAGTATCAATTAATACTTTTACCACTTCCCAGATAATGCCAAGACCTTAGAATATTTCCTTTTATACCCACCACCTTTTGAATTTTGTCATGCATTTTAATTGTACATATACTTAAAACTCTACAGGATGCCTTTTTTGCCACATACCATGTCTCTCATGCTTTTTGTCTGTATTTTCAATCCTCTTTTCACTCACACTTCAATCTGAATATTTCCTACTGATCTATATTCTAGTTCACTACTCTCTTCAACTGTGTCCAATCTGATGTTAAACTCATCTAATAAACTCTCAAATTCAGTTATTATGTTTTAGTTCCAGGATTACTGTTTCTTTTTTTTTATAGCTTTCAGTTTTCTGATGAAATTCTTCATCTTGTAATCTATTTTCTTGAACATTTTAATCACAGTTATTTTAAAGATCATGTCTTTATAAAGATAACACTAATATCTGGGTTACCTGTGGATCTGTTTTATTTCCTCTTGGTCCAGTTTCTATGTATGCCTGTATATTTTTGACTGAATCATGGACACTGTGTATAAAGAAACTGAAGTGACTCAGGGTTATATTACATCAAAAAGGATTCATCCTATCTTCTCAATTCAATTCTTTCAATCCAACCTGGAATTAAGCTGACTGGACTTCAGTCTTTGTAACACTCAGCCTACCTCTGGTTTACCTCCATTTTTAGGGGATGGTCCTTTAGGGAGCCCAAACAGGAGTCTAGATGTTTCCTGAAGTCCCTCCCTTCTTGACAGATCTGAAACTCCTAGTTTTGTCCCCCTCAGCACCATAAAACTGCCAAAACTCTGCTCTTTTTGTTTGACTTCATCCCTTTTTCTCCCACACAGCTAAGAATAAGCAAGTGCCTTGTGGGGAAAGCCTCTAAGTGTCAGTCTCACTTTTCTTAACTTCCCTTCTCTCTGGGATCATGGCCCTTGAAATCAAGACCTCATTGGCAACCCAGAATTTTAATTTCTGTCTTGCCATCTCAGCATATTTGCTGAAAGGCTCAGATGGTTTCTCTGATTTTTAGACGCTGCCCTCTGCCCAGCTTCTCACACTCTAGCCGCACATCAAAAATCAGCAAATGATCCAAGGGACAGGAGTGTGCAGGATGTTGGGCTCATCTCAGTGAGCTTCCCTTCTCCTCAGGACCTTGGCATCTCAAATCCTGGTTGCTTTAGCAGCTTTCTAATACCTTCAAACAATTATTTTTAAATTGTATTTTATCTAGTTTTTCTGAGAGTTCTCAACAGGACTGCTGCTGTGTTACAAGAAGTGAAAGCCTGCTGTTCTCCACTCATTTAAATTTTTTTTCATGGTCAATAGCCTCCAAATAGGTATTCTTTCCCTCTTCACAATCTTCCCAAACACTGTTAAGTCTTTTTTCTTTTTAGGAAGTTTGTTGTTATAACAATATCAAACATAAGCAGTGACTCTGAATGATAAATTCCTTCATGGACTATGTTTAAATAGATTGGGTGTTTTTAAATTTTCAGTGAATGCACAAAGTGCACTGGCTTTGAATTCAACTGCCATAGTTAACTACTGTGGTTTACATTAACTTGTACTTATTTTAGAATTCTACTTTAATCTCACAGACAAACCAAAGGACGCTGCTATTATGAAATTTGCCTCTGCAGCATCTGATTTAATGTACAGATGAGCACATACCGTATCCTAGTATCTAACAATTCCTTAATCATTGCCACAACTTCATCATCTTCTTCAGATCCTAGAAATAATCATAAATAAAAATATCAACAGTAGAAATTTTATATTCATGCAAGTACAAGTATTAAAACAGGAATATTTTAATTCCATGGTTCATTAAAAACATAGCATAGACACATAACTTGGTATGGTGATATAACTGGTTTTGGAAGTTTTGGGGAAATGGGAAGATCATTTATTTGATTCTTTGAAGAAAAATTAAGAAAGTACTGATCAACTCAACATTTGATGATAAAGTTGAGTATACTGAAACATCCTGATCTACTAATCATGTTAGAGTTTGAAATTTTTGGCCAGTAAATCTATAAACTTTCATCATTCTCAAGGATTAAAAAGTAGCAGAGAAAACAGAGGTTGTCTGAATTTTGATGAAAACTTTGAGACAAAAAGGCACACCTAGTTTGTAAATTAAGTTACATCTTTAATTTCTCAATTTAGCAGTTTTCAAAGAGACAGTCACACTAAGTATCATAGATGTAAGCCTTCTGGAAATTTCCAAAATGTTCTACAAATCTTCTGAGCATAAAGTTGGCTTTTTGGTTTTTTTTTTTTTCATTTTTGTTTTTGCTTTACTTTGTAAAGCTATTTACTTATCTTCATCAATGCCTCTCTATGGGTTTTCTTTCTTTCTTTTTCAGAAATTTATTTACCTTTGGAAAAACTAAAAATACAGAGAATCCAAATTATACTATAACAAATACTAGTGTCCTGGCAATCTTCTAACCAACAAATATTTGTGTTAAATTATATTGAGTATTTTTTTAATAAAAGAAATAAAACATAATAAACAAAGCTAAAATTCTCTTAGATCAGTAAACCTAAGTTCCAATCCCTACCATCCCTTTAACAGGCAACCACTATCAAGAGTTTAGTGTATATCCTTCTAGTATGTTTACATTTACATGTGTAAATTTATACACGAGATCATACAATACACACTGTTCTATATATTGCTCTTTTCTATTTAATGTATCTTGAAAGTCTTTCCGTATCAGCATATACAGATGTGCCTCAATTTTTAAAATAGGTGCACAGTAATCTTTGTAGGATTGCCTTATTTAGCCAGTCTCTTGACTATTTCAGTTATTTCAGGTTTGTCACTATTTCTAACAATCCTTCAGCATACCTGCTTGTATAAACACATATCAGTGTACTTTTACAAATATATCTATGAGGTAAATTCCTAGCAGTAAGATTTTGAGTCAATCCAAAAACCAAACCTGTTATCGTTGAGTCAATTTGGGTCAATAGGCTTGTGTTATTTTTAATTGTGATAGATGTAGTCAATTACTCTCTTAAAAAGTTTTATCAATTTTACTTATGCATCCATCAAGAGGAGCCCTGGTGGCACAGTGGTTAAGAGATCAGCTGCTAACCAAAAGGACAGCAGTTTAAATCCACCAGTCGCTCCCTGGAAACCCTATGGGGCAGTTCTACTCAGTCCTATAGGGTCACTGTGAGTCACAATCAACTCGACGGCAACGGGTTTTGGTATCCTTCAAGAATACATATAACTGCTTCATGTGTTATTAAAAATCTGCATAAATGGTATCATAATGGTAAATACCCTTCTGCAATTTTCCTTTTCATTTAATATTTTCTATTTTTAATGTTGCTACCTCTATATTTAGCACGTTCCTTTTAACTGCCACTGGAGTTAAAAAATATTTTAGTGAACGTGCTTCTACGTGGTGCCTTGTCTACAGCTGCAAAACTCTAATTTTAAAGTATGTATCTAGAAGTGAAACTACATCTTCTAAAGGTGGTTATACAAATGTGTATGTACATGTATACATACACATAAACATTCAGTTTTTACAGTCAATGTTCATTTAAATTCATTAACTATTAGAACAAATGAAAAGAGTTCAAAGAAGTTGGTGAATATGAAATCAATATGTAAAAATCAACAGCAATCCTATTATCCTCCACCCCCTAATTAGAAAATATATTTTTGAAACCCATACAGGCAGCATGGTGTAGTGGTTAACAACATGAACTTTGGAGGCAAACTGCCCAGGGTTGATATCCTACTCTGCCACTAGCTAGCTGTGTGACCGTGAGCAAGTTACTCACCTTCTCAGTGACTAAGTTTTCTCATAGTGAAATGAAATGATGATGGTACCTAGCCTATCATATGGTTATTTTAAGAATTAAATGAATTTATATTTGTAAAGTGCTTAGAACCATGCTTGGAATATAGTAAACCATTTATAAGTGCTTACTAAAGAAAATAAATACCATTTACGATAACAACAAATCCTAAATGGTACCTATAATTAGAAATAACAAATATAAGTGAGACCTTACGAAGAAAAGAACGTATGTGAAGTCCCAAATGGGAGGATTTTTTCAGATGAAAAGAATTAATGGTGAAGAAATCGCAATTCTCCCAAATTTAATCGATAAATGCAATGCAATTTCATTCAAAATCTCAGCAGGGTTGTTCACAGAACTTTACAAGATGATCATAAAATTCACATAGAAGAATAAAGGGACTAGAGCCATCAAAATTTTTTTGGAAAAAAAAATGAGATTTCCCTGCCAGGCATTGTTATTATATACTAGTTATTATCCATCCGCCCATTCATTCAGTTACCACAGAGTCAACCTGGACTTATGGCAACCCTGACTCATGGCAGCCTCACGTGTGTCAGAGTAGAACTGTGCTCCGCAGGGTTTTAATGGTTGATTTTCAGAAGAAGACTGCGAGGCCTTCCTTCCAAGGTGCCTCTGGGTAGACGCGAACCTCCAATCTTTTGGTTAGCAGTAGAGCATGTTAACCATTCACGCTGCTCAGGGACTCCAAGCCATAGTTAGGGAAAAGTTATTTGCTATGCATTTACCTAACAAAGGATTAATACTCAAAATATACTTTTTTTAATATTGCTAAAATCAATACAAAAAAGACATATAACTCAATTTTTAAAAAATGGGCAAAGTTTATTGTCGGGCAATTTAACAACAAGAAAACTAAATGCCAGTGAAGATATGAAAACCTTCAGGCTCAGTATTAATCAGGGAAATGCAATTAAAACAAGATACCATTTCACACCTAACATATTGGCAAAAAAAAAGGAAAAGACAGTATTAAGTGATGATAAAGATATAAAAAATCTGAAATTCTTAGATACTGCTAATGTGCATGTAATTAGAACAATCATTTTGGAGGGCATTTACACATTATCTAATAAACTGTAGACCCTTACAACACAACAATTGCACTTCTAAAAATATATTCTAAAGAAACTCTCCACATATGCACAAGAAGACTTGTACAAGGATGTCCACTGCAACAATATTTATAATAGAAATTAGTACAAATGACTAAATTGGACATACATAAAGGAACAAATTAATTAACTGTAGCTTATGCATATAATGGAATACTACCCAGCATTTAAAATGAATAAACTAGATCTACATTTTTCAAAATGGATGTATTTTGAAAATATTACATTCAGTGAAAAAGGTAAATCGTAGTATAACACAAGTTATTTAAAGCTTAAGAACAAAAACTCATACTACATATTCCCTGAAGAGGCTTACAAGTGTAGTAAAAGTATATATTAAAAAAAAAAAAAAAAATCAAGCTTATACACATCTCTGGAAGTAGAAGCAAAAAGGGGTGGGGTCTCTGGGGCTTTAGCTGTATCTTTAATATTTTAGTTAAAAATAGGCCCAAAGCAACTAATGTAAAAGTTAACATTTGCTAAATCTGAGTGGAGTGCTAAACTGGTGAGTATTGTAATTTTCTGCATGTCTAAAGTTTCTGACAATTAAATATAGTTTTGTGTAATAGATTCCATTTATATGTTGTTTTCAAAAATAATGAATAAAACTAGTATATATGAAGTTTTGTTCCCTCTCGAATTGGTTCGAGCTAACTAAATTAAATGATAAAAGTCTGTATTCCCATTACTTCTAAAGCCAAAGCAAATGTGAATAAAGTAGAAAAGTCTAAAAAAGGGGTAAGTATTAATTACCCAACACGACATGTTACCTGCTTCTCCTGAAGATGTTTCCTCCGTAACTAGGGGTAAGCCAGATGCAAAGAAGTCCATGATTGTTGCATAAATATCTGGTTTCAATAAATTCCAGTCTAACTCTTCACTTTCCTGTGAACATGTGAAGAAACACACTATAAAATTTCCACTCAAGGGCAAAGATAAATACAGAACAGTACCTTGTTTCTTTAAAGAATCTTTTTTTCCACCCGCATCCTACTATGCAAGAATACCCATTTCTGGAGAACGCATGTCAGTTCTGAGTTTAGCTCTTACCCAGTCTGATTCATAATCTTAGAACACCCCTCATTCATTCAGTCAGTCAGTTATCAAACTTTTATTAAGTGTGCTATATGTGCCATACACTGTGCAAGGATACCAAAAATGATTAGAAGATATTTTGTCATGATGTGAAGAGAGCTAAAATATTTAATGGATTCTCTGTCTTTAAAGAGGATGACAAAGAGATTTCCATTCTCTTAAAGGAAATAAAATGTAAGTTTAAGATCAAATATACAGACTATCCTACAACTATTCAAAAAATTCAACTTACGTATGTTACTTAAGACTACTAAAGAAACTCAATGATGCAACTGTAGAATGAAAACATACAACATGTCTTAACTAGGGCTACACTGCTGGAGGACTTGGAGATTGTCAGCATGACTGGCATCCATGAGGAAGATTCCCTGTTTCACTTCTATACCTGGTCAACTAGTTGATTCCATAACAACAGATACCAAAAACTAAACCCACTGTCATCAAGTCGATTCCAACTCATAGCAACCCTATAGGACAGAGTAGAATTGCCCCATACAGCTTCCAAAGCTGTAAATCTTTACAGAAGCAGACTGCCACATCTTTCTCTCGTGGAGAAGCTGGTGGGTTCGAACTGCCTACCTTTCAGTCGAGTGCTTTAGCCACTGCACCACCAGGCCTCCCATAAAATAATAGATTATTAAATATTTAAATAGTACTAACATCTAGTAAAAGAAAGGCAACTTTTTTTTTTAAAGGAAAGCTCTTTAGGAGGAAAAAGTTAAATGTAGTTTATTTAGACATTCAGGATGCCACTGGTTAGAGTCTATGCTTAAATAGTATCAAAAAATGAGTCAACATGGATAAAAGGAATGATTTTTGTCATGGACTAGAACCAATTTGGAGACAGTACACAAAAGGTAAGATAAATGGGCATTGCTATGTACACAAAACTAAAACCAGTGAGATGCACTGGCAACTGGGAATGGGAACTGGTTCCAGGAAACAGTTTAATAAATTATTTGGAAGATGGATCAGAGTGCCATCTCCAGCCATTCAGTGAATAGTGGGCTCTACTTGGTAGGGAAATACCGGTAATAAAAACAATACTCTGAAGTTGTCTAAATGGGGGAGAAAATGTATTTAGAATAAAAATAACATAAGTGATACGTAAGGAAGCTTCTGAGTTATCCATTACAAATCAAAAAAGGAATAGACTATCACTAAGATATCAGATAAACGGAATAGTTCCTGATGAGGGGGGTTATTAAAAGAAAACTAATCAAATCCACTATTCTACCTACGAAATATCAATGTGTGGTCTCATGGGACATCTCGGTCAATTGGCATAACATAGTTCATAAAGTAAATGTTCTACATCCCACTTTGGTGAGTAGCATCTAGGGTCTTAAAAGCTTGTGAGTGGCCATCTAATATACATTTATTTGTCCCATCCTATCCGAAGCAAAGGAGAATGAAGAAAACCAAACACACCAGGAAAATATTAGCCCAAAGGATTAAAGTACCACATGAACCAGAACCTCCTCCAGCCTGAGCCCAGAAGAACTAGATGGTGCCCAGCTAACACCACTGACCACTCTGACAGGTATCACAACAGACAGTCCTGGACAGAGCGGGAGAAAAATGTAGAACAAAATTCAAATTCACGAAAAAAGACCAGATTTACTGGTCTGACAGAGACTGGAGGAACCCCTGGGACTATGGCCCCTGGACACTCTGCTAACTGAGAACTGAAACCACTCCCAAAGCCCACTTTTCAAAGATTAGATAGGCTTATAAAACAAATAATAACACATGTGAGGAACGTGCTTCTTAGTTCAATCAAATATACGAGACCAAATGGGCAACTCCTGCCCAAAAGCAGGACGAGGAGGCAGGAAGCGACAGGAACTGGATGAACGGACACAGGGAACCCAGGGTGGAAAGGACAGCATGCTGTCACATTGTGGGGATTGCAACCAATGTCACGAAACAGTATGTGTATGAACATTTGAATGAGAAATTAACTTGAGATGTAAACTTATACCTACAGCACAATAAAATTTAAAAAAATATATATGTATCAATGTGCACTCTAACTTGGAGTATTATCTCTTGTTTAGGTCATTTCACTTAAGAAAAAATAGCAGAGCTAAAGAAATTTCAAAAAAGGTAACTAAATAATGAAGGAAAGGGAAATAAAAGATAACTCATCAAAATCAAATCAAGGAAAAGGAAAAAAAAAAAGAAAATCTTGTATAGTTTTCATCTACAAAACTTTTATATAGTATGGGCTGTATGTAAAAGAACTAAATAAAAATTTTTAAATGAATATCTAATTTTCCATTATAAAAAGAACACTACCTAACCAAAAAAATCAAACTCACTGCTGTCAAGTCAATTTCGACTCATAGAGGCCCTACAGGACAGGGTGGAACTGCCACGTAGGGGTTCCAAGGCTGTACATCTTTACAGAAGCAGACTGCCACATCTTTCTCCCGTGGAGTGACTCGTGGGTTCCAACCGCCAAACTTCACTTGGCAGCTGAGTACTTTAACCACTGCACCACCCGGGCTCCTCCAAGAACACTTAGTTGTAATTAAATTAGAGAATATATGTAAAGCACTTAGCACCATACCTGACATGTCAAGAGATACTAAACAAAGGCTTATCTCCTTAATCCCCTTAAAAATTATGAAAGAAAGAATAATCCTTTCAAATTGTTTAAGGGTAGTTTAATGAATACTTTTGAGTTTGACACAGTATTAGGCAAATGTAAGGAGCCCTGGTGGCAAAGTGGTTCAACAACAGCAAGTGTTACTGCTGTTATTGTTGTTACTGAAGTGTCGCTGAAGGTTGGTGGGAATGTGTCAGGTGTCACGATATAAGTGCCCACTTTGAAAGAAGATATACTCAGTCATTCTGTTGGTCAAATACTGATTTGATTCCCTTTTACACTATCAATTTAGATTAAGAATTAGTAAAAAATAATACTTGGAAGCCTAAATTCTAATTCTGCTAAGGTTGAGTCATGGCCCTGCTGCAGACTAGCTATATAATCTTGCATTTAACCGTCTGAGCTCAAGTTTTTTTCTTTTGAAAAATGAGGTTCTGGACTACAGTTAGTTTCAACTAGAAAATTCTATTAACTGAGAAATGTGAGAAGTGAACTTTGTTTGAGATTTGTAATAACAGTAAGTGTAAAATATATTAAAAATGGAAATTCTGGAGATGCACACAGGACTCAGAAAAAACTGAAAGTCCTTCAAGTCGTATTTTATATGATCCTATATTTACCTTTGTGACAGTGATAAAATCTGGTCCAAAGAAGACACTTTTTACTCCTTCAATCCTGAAGAGCTGCCTGTGAATAAAGAAAAAATAGGAAATAATATTTTTTTTATGGAAAAGTTTAAACATATACAAAAGTAGAAAGAAAAGTAAATGGACCTCCATGTACCATGGTGATACAATGTATCAGCAGCTTCAACAATGATCAACTCGTGGCCAGTCTTGTCTCATTTTCTTACCCTATGATCCAGCAATGTCATTCCTAAGGATTAACCCAAGAGAAATGAAATCATATGCTCCATAAAGACTTGTACATGAATCCTTTATATTTATAATTGCAAAAAACAAAACAAACAAACAAAAATCCTAGAAAGTTCATGAAGTGGTGAATGAATAAACAGATTGTGGTATATCCATACAACGTAGTACTACTCAGCAATGAAAAGGAATGATATACGCAAAAACAAGGATGACTATCAAAAGCATTGCGCTAAGTGAAAGAAGCCAAATACAAAAGACTACACGGTTCCATTTATATGAACTTCTAGAAAAGGCAAAACTACAGTGATGGAAAGCAGATCAGTAGTTATCAGGACAAGGGAGTGAAGCAGGAGGATTGAATGCAAAGAAGCACAAAAGATTTTTTGTAATATAAAAATGTACTTTTTTTTTTTTAATGGTGGTGCTTACACAACTATATATATTTGTCATAATGCATTGAATTGTACACTTACAATTGGTGAATTTCACTGCATGTAAATTACACTTCAATAAAGTTAATTTTTAAAAATCTGTGGGGTGTGAAGGGGAAGAGTACAATCTGAAAAGCCCCTACAAGGGTTCTGAAATGCACCTTCCTTCCCTACTTGCTCATGTATTTACCATACCTAGTACAGTACACACTCTACAGCAGTTTCCTTTCTTCTAACCTTAGCTGACATATTCTAGAGGTAACAGTTTTCCTTTTCTTTGTCTATTATCATAGGAGCGCTATTGGAATTTTACTGTTTTGAATTAGTTAGGAGTTCGATACAACACTATCTGGGTTCTTTCCACAGCCACTCAGTATTAAATTTACAAGAATTCACAAGATCCTGGGCTGCATTTTATGATCTAATAACCCTGGTACAGGCCTTTAAGTAGGTCCCTTGACTGGCTCAGCAGATTAGCCTTCTGTACATCTGCACAATTAGCAAACTGTCTTTCTCCAAATGAAAGAATCAACTCAATCTACTGGCAACGTCATGAAGACTACTTTAAGCAAAGAGTTCACAGGTTCTGTCCCTCAGAGAAAGAAAAGATAAAAAGCATTACCTTCCTTGGAACAAACTTCAATTTGTCAATGTGCAAAAGAAAATATGATACCCAGAACTGAACACAATCCCCCAAATGTAGTTTGACTTATTCAGAGCACAAACTATTACCTCCCTTGACATTGGACAGTGTAACTCTATTAAAGTTTGAATGACTGTTTTGAGAGTTGCACCATATCCCACATTAACAACTCAAAGGCCAGATTCTTCCATCCTATAATTGTGCTACTCATTTTTAAAAATTTAAATAGAAGGCTTTATACTTGTTCCTATTAGATTATCTTATTTGCTTTAACCTATCATTGCAGCCTAATGAAATTTTTTTGATTTCTCTGAATCTTGCCATTCAACACAGAAACAAGCGGCTATGTATTTATGCTGCAGACTAAAAAAAAAAAAAAAAAAGTGTTGAATTAACATGCCAACTGCAGAGATACAGAGCCCTTTTACATACCACTAGAGACCGTTCACATTCTGCTTACATTCCATTTCTTGGTCTTGTCCATAAAGACAGTGAGAAAGAAGTTGAATGTCTCCCTGAAGTAAGATGAATTAATGCTTATTTATTCATTCTATCAGTTACTCATTCATTCAACAAGTACATGAACACCTAGTGACTGCCAAGCACTGTACCAAGTACTAGGGATACAATGATGAGCAAGACAGACCGGTCTCCGTCCTCATGGAGCTTACATTCCAGCTAATGGCAAAAACATTCCCGACTAAAACAACAAAGAAAGGGAGATCAGTTTTGCTTCACTAAAGATAATAAACTGTTATCCCAGGAAATGGGCTACTTTCAAAAGACTAATTTAAAAAAGGCTTTTGTCAGCTAAGCACCTGACAGAAATAATCTCCAACTAATCTGTAACTGAATTAGGGATTTTTTACCTTCACATCTCTTAATACAAACCAATATGTGAACTCATCCTTGATGTAAACGTTTGAAACAATACACACAAAGTGAAAATCCCCCAACAACTCCTCTCAAATCCACTATTACCAGTGTGGTACGTACACTTCCAGGCATTTTTATCAGTGTATCTGTTTTGTGGTTTTTTGTTTTTATATGCACTATATCATATTGTACTCAGTATTTTGCAACTTGCTTTCTTCACTTAAAAGTATGTTTTAGAGATCTTGCCATGACAGTAAATATGGGTCTTCCTCATCCTTTTTGATATTTGCAGACTCTGGATGGACAAAGTTTATCTAACTCCTCCTATTGATGACTATTTAAATACGTAGTTTCCAACTCATCACCATTACCAAAGAGGCTACAATAAACATTCTTGCACACACTTGGTGTACATGTGCAAGTGTTCTCTAAAAAGTGTTTTTTTCACAACCACCGGAAGAAAGGAAATAGTAAAGATCAGAGCAGAAATAAATGAAATAGAGAACAGAAAAACAACAGAAAGAATCAACAA